AACTGTAGAGCCTAATGAAGGAGTTTCTCATCATGACTCATCCTCACTCAAGTTAGGCTCATAGTTGGAGTTTTCTTTTCTTTTTTTTCTTTTACATTCCCACATACTGATGTGTTTCTCTCACCTCCCTACTTTTCATACTCTGCCCTCCCTCAACCTCCTCTTCAACACTGCCATCTCCTCATTACAATAGCTCCTCTCTTTTCTTATGCAGCCATCTTTCTGCACGTATACACTGTCTCCCTCTCTGTCTGTCTCTCCCTCCCTAGTTCCCATAGGTATAGTGGTGGGATAATTGGAAGCAGAGGTTCTTCATTGAGAAGATGCTGTGGCCAGTCAGGTGGAAAACCCTCTTAATAGACCTCTGCTCTGTGTGTGCGTGCTTGCTTGCACGCACACACACACACACACATACACGCGCATACTCACAGACACAGACATTCACACACATTATGCAAACACTTACAAACACACAGCATATACTGTTAAGTGTGGATGCAGCCATGCACACATACACCTGTTCTTCTCCTCAGAGGCCCTAATTCCTGAGATTACTCAGCTTTCTTTACAGTAGAAAACAGCCAATGATTTCCCATAACTGTACTATTTTCCTTGATTTCTCTATCCCTCTCTTTCTTTCTTCTTGTCCTGTCCCTTCACTCTCTTCAACCCTCCCTCCATCAATTTTACACTCACTTGAGACACCTGCGCTTGCAAATCCATTTTTTGTTGTATCGCTCAGTTACAATCATATCTCACATCTTTTCCTCGATAATGGGCAATCCCCCAGCTGGCTTTTTCACAATACTGGCTGCACGCCTCAGATTGCCACAGCCCATATCACATTGCAATATTTAATCTGCCTTCGCATGTGAAGCCAGTTTCTGTGTGTTTTCTGACGGTATCCATTTTGTTTTCTCTTAGCCTGGAAAAATGATTTCGGGGCCATATCTGGCTTATGCCAGATGATCACGATTTGGATGCGGCAAGAATCCCCCCCAGTTAGTAGAAACCCCCACCCCCACCCATCAGCCATCATACCCTCTATCAACCCCCCCTTGCCTGCAGTGCGCTGCTGAACCAAGATGGCTGCCTTCCAACTCAATTTGCGGTCAGCGAAGGGGCTATTTGCATGAACATGTGTCCCATCGTTTAGCTGATATCCCACCGTGACAATCTCACAGAGAGGAGTGAAATCATGCATATATTAAAGTCCTCTTCCCTTTTTCGTCCAATTCATCTTTCCAGCACTGGTGTTTTGCAATTTTTCCCCACCTCCAATGTGCTACTTAAGGATTAAGTGAAACGCTGAGGCCTCTCTTAACACTGGGAGATAAAAGGGAGGGATGTAATAGATTGTACAGAGTGGGATACACATGCAGCGAGTGGGAACATAAAATGAAAATTAAAGCGGCACTTGGGTAGGGAAATTTTAAGGATGAGCTAAAGGTAAGGTGAACAACATTTATTAGAAGCTGTAAATCAGGGATCTATGTCGTGCACACACATTCATGTCTATGCACGGATGAATCAACCTGACTCGCAACAAATGAACAGTGGACACCTGTTTTTTAATTAGTATGTGCGTGTGTATGTGAATAGTGCCGGTATGTGGGTGGCAAACATGTTAAATGGATTTAATAGCTGAACCTGGTAAAGCTGCTGTTGAAAGCTGGTCCTAATAAGACAAGGCTCATTACTCAAAACTTGTTTTCAACATAATTTTAGTACGTTGGTTATTAGTCCCTCTGAGATTTTATTTGCCATACTACTCATTACAGAACTTTATTAAACATCCCCAAACATAATGATTCTGTTTGCCATTGCCTCTGAAAATCAGGATGACAATAATTTGATTTGGTTATTCTAGAGTAATAAGGGAATCAGATAGTGTCAGTGTTTTATTTATTTATTTATTTTGATCAGTGCAAAGTCTAATGATATGGTCATTTATACTGAGATTAGGCCTATAATATGTGTGTGTGTGTGAGTGTAGAAATTTTAAGTAGTTTGATATACTGGGACTTACAATAATATAGGATAATAATATATATATTATTATTTTTTCATTTTTAAATTGAAAACAGCACCTTCAGGCCATGTTCACTTCATGCAGTTCACCTGTGTGCAACCAGAGGACACCAAACCATTATCCATGACCATCCCCAATGAATAACTGATCCAGGGTGACTTCGTTAATCTCAAAAATTACAAACTACTGTACCATGCTAAGTCACGTGTGACAGATATCTGACGCCTTTAATGACACTGTTGACAGCTTTCTGACCGTAGCTGCTTATCTAACTTAGTTCTAGCTTCATAAGACTGCATGGAGGAGCTACTCCTCAGCCGGAAGCCCCGGAGCCGCTCATTCAGAGGTGATACACTTAAATTATTAAGCTGACGCGTTTAGCTAAATGTTTATTTATAAGATACCGGTCACTGCTAACCTAGCTAGTAGCCCCGTCTGGAAATACCACGCAGTGAATGAAGTGGAGTCGCAAACTGGGCTACCTAGCTAGCCGGTTAGCTGCTGAAACTATGAACAGGACTAGCTAACATTATAGAGAGACTGTGGTGCTTTTCTCTCTGTTTGGCTGAACAGAACTTACACATAGGCACGTAGCAGAGCTGCTTAACCCAACCAGACACTTTAATTAAGTTTCATTTTGCAGTGTGGCTAACTTGGAAATGTTAATTGGCTAACAAGTTACAGCTGGTTAATATCCGCATGACACTGACCGTCTGAATAACGTTACTGATAAGTTTTATTTTCATATTCAACGTCTTACATTGCTATTTAAACAAACATTTATCCTAATTAAAATAATAACGTCATCATGGCATTTATATAAAGGTAAGCTTCATGCTATATAAAGGTTGAATTATGGCTTTGGCTTTATTTTAAGTTTCATTTTTAGTATACTTTTTTTTAATGCGCAAAACTATCCAGGAGTTAAGTTAGTTATATTAATTATAGCTATTGCCAAGAAGTCTCAAATAAGAGCAGGTAATAATGATGGTATGGGCGTTATGCGTAAACAATTTAACTTGTTTGTTTAACTGCTATTTATTATTAACATTGGAAAAAAAAAAAAAAAACCCTGTGTACTTAGTAACTGCTGGAAAAGCAATTAAATCACTTCAGCATTCTGTACAAAGAAAAGATTACATTTGTCACCAGTTTAATCAGCTCCAGGTCCGGGCATCACCACACAAAACCCCAGTGAAGCAGGAATCATGAGCCCATGTTTATTAAGTACCTTTGAATCACTCCTAGAACCACCTCAGAGCAGCACTTGGAAGTTATTTATGATGTTCTCCTTTTGAGGGTGAATAGCATCAAAGTTTTACACACCATAAAACCAAATTAATTATCTTAGTTTATTGTAATATTTATTGTTGTAAAAACAAAATGAAATGCAGAAAATAGCATCACTTGTGTACTAATGCACTAGGAAAGGCAAAAATATGATCAAACTGAACAGCTTAAAATGATTTTAAAAAATGTCCCAATTGGGGAGTTAATAAAGTATATCGTCTTCTTCTTAAATATAATTTTATTCACTTTTACCCAGTTGAGTTCAGTCTAGCAGTAGATCTTGCGCTGTTTGGCCAATTACATCTTGTTTTTGTATTTACTGTGTAAGAAGTCTTATTAAATGTGCATGTGCCTTGGTTGCAATAATTTAGGCAGTGTTTTGGTCTGCTGACATAGCCTGGGGGCGTCTGTGAGTGATGGACACCTAGGCCACTTGGCCACAACATCAAAGACCATGCATGCATAACCAATACTTGTCGATACTGTGGTATGGATTGTGTCCTTGTCTGTGCTTAGAGCAATAATATTCTGTGATGTTATATCTTGCAAGCTGTTCAAGACACTGACAAATCCAACACAAGCACCATATTGCTTAAAATGTATTATTTTGTATTATAATTAAACAATTGTTGAATATCTGTGTTACTGGATCTTCAAGTTGCAGTAATTACAAATGTCATGTCCTAAATTATGAATAATAACTTAAACTTAAACTCTACAGAGTTTGTGGATTATTACTAATAACTAGTGGAACTAATTATATCCATTACAAAATCAGGCACCAAATGTTTCAATTCAATCAGTATCTTTATTTTTAAACTAACAAAACATTAATTTTGTAATTTTCACGCCTGTAGTAATGTGAGTAGATGTTTCTCCTATCGTTGACTTGTTGGGAACTTCTTATAAGTTGGAACAGCTCAGCTCTTCTCCTAATATGAGATATGGTTAAAAATATTTTTACTTCTTTATCTAAAAATAAGATCAAATATGTGTCTCACGAATTTTGGGCAAGTTAGGACCAATTTTCTGCTCTGAGATGGTAAATAAAAAAATAAATACAGGTCCAGTTGAGTAACAGCACTGATATTAAAGTGGAAAACAGAAGCACTGAAATAAGTAAGTGTAGTTCTCCATATTAACAAGTGGGTTTTCAGAACAGTGTTAGACTGATAGTGAAACAAGCCTTGAAGTGACATCCAACATGAAAAGAAAATTGTGTACTTAAGATACCAGACTTAAACATGATCAAATGGACACTACTGGTAAAAATAGCAAACATATTTTCTGTTCCAGTTGACATTGATTGCACATCTAAAAATCACTGGTTGGTTATTAGAAATGGTTGTTGACTCAGAGTCCGACAATTTTATGTTTGTTCATTCTCACACTGGCTGCTGCTGTGTTTCTAATTTACGGGGGATACATAATCGCAGTTACTCTGTCTTCACTGATTGAGGGAAATCTGTTGAGCTTTTCTGTCCTGTTGAGGTCTTGGCATTTTAATAATTTGTGGATGATTCAGAGCCTCGTTATACAAAAAGTTATCCTTGAATGCCTGAGGGAACAGCTGGCTTGATGGAAGCGGGCTTCATACCTGACCTTGCAACCAACTGTGCTGTTGATTGGATCTTTTTTTTGTCTGACCGTTATTGTCCTTCTGTCCATTTGTTCTCAGGTTAACAGGGTTCCAGCTGCCTTCACCCATTGTGAGTACAGGCTCTAGGCTCACACTGTGGCTACTGTCTGACTATGCGGTCAGCGGACAGGGATTCAAAGCCGTCTATGAAGGTAAAACAACTTCCTTGTTATTTGTTTATGAGCCAAAGGAAAAGTAATCATGTTTTTTCCTGCAGCGTTAATGTGGATGCGATCCATTTAAGCTCAATCTCAAAGTACTTGTGCCATAAACCACATAAGTCACTTTTGAGATTTCATAATGTTTGACTCATATTCAAGTCAAATCTTCCTTAATTTAATTTTACATCATGGCTCTCATGGCAGCAATTTATGCCAATAATTTTCAATATGGTGGGAAATTTCAGCCACTCTTGTCAGTGTTCCATACCTTAATGGGAAAAGGCTTAAGTGCTAGTGAGCAAAACCTCTCAAATGTCCAAATAAAAAGGGGTTAAAAAAGCGAGGAGGAGAGAATATGGTGTATACCATGACTCATATTATAGTACAAAATTAGCAGTGTGCACTGAACAATTGTAGATCTAAAGCCATTCTATCCGGCTTAGGTTATCATCTCTCCCTTCCCAGGCCAGGACCGGGACCTTTATCATGGTGACAAGGAATGCTTTATGACCCATGGTGGGATGATATTAACGATGGCACTCTTCAAACCCACGCAGGAGGAAAGGCGAGCTTGGGGAGGGGGAGGAAATACAGGCGAATGACTAATTAGGCTAATTACCTGACAGGAGTTTGTCAGTCTTTTTGAGATATTGTGATTGTGGGGATGTGGCTCGATGAAGCAACATCAAGCGACTCGGGAGGCCTGAGACCACATTGCGTGACTAGATAAAACCAAAGACAAAAGAGCAAAGAGACTGTTTGTTAACTCCACTGGGAGACAATTGGGGCGTCATGCCTTTCTTTCTCACTAGTGGAAACAAAACTGTCAGACTTGTCTAGCTTCTGACCTTGGATGATGTAATTGTCTCTTGCTGCAAATGTTTTTAACTAAACTTTTTAAAAACAGGTAGCTATAGAAATTTAACACTAAAAAAGGTTTTTCATTTTGGTAGTCTGAAGACTTTTAGCTTGCTTTAGCTGCTACTTTATCTTTCTTTTTTGTACTACATGCAGTCATACACTCTCATGCGCACACTATACAGCCAGCGACACACATAAACCAATAAAGCCGAGTGAATGATGTAAAGTAATGTACATTTCAAATCTTGTGGTGACTTTGGTCCCTGGGAGACAGGTTGAGGGCGGTTCGAACCTTTTGGGTACCAGAGGAAGCGAGTGCAAAGCCATAATTACCTGTCACCCACCTCACATGACACTGGCGAGACCAACTGCAATGACCCATGTCACATGGGAGAAGAGAAAGGCCCCGCTGTGCTGACACGTGGTGCTGCCCTGTAGGTTAGAGTGAATGTTAATTGGAGAGTGAGAAATACAGAAGATACGTAAAGCACACCATCATTTGAAAGTAACTGAATGGATTGAAGACCACCTACAGTTGGCCTTTATTACACAGGATATGCACACTTGAATCTTGGCAATCTATTCTTTATTCCTCACATGAAGTGAAACCACATCCCTTTACTGCTTCCTTTAATTCTGATATCCTATTTTGCTCTTCCTTTGAACCTCTTCCTCGTGGCGCACATGGGTTCTTTGACTTCTCTGTGCCGCCAAAATCCCACTAGGGCTCCCACTAGAGATAATGAACCTCCACCCTGTGGCTAGACCTGCTTTATCTGGTTACTGATTATAATTAACACAAGGCTTAAAATCAACCAGTTGGTAAGACGACCTACGTAAACAAACCAGAAAATAAATTCAGTGTATATTCCATACCGGCCAAAGCAAATATGTTTTTAAATATGATATATGCCACTCCATCCATTTTCTGTGATATTTTTAATGTCTGAAGCAAGAGATAAAGGGGGATTTTGAAGTTTTAATTTCAAATTTAAAAAAGGAAATTTTCACAATAGATCTTCTTTTTTTGCTATTGAACTACCCAGGAAGCAAAGACACACCAGGAAGATGTGACAGAAGCTGACACACGGCTCTGTGCTGCTTTGTATAAAGTCAGTCTGACCAGAAGCCACTGGCATAGAGCCACTGTTCTGCTTTGATTTGATTAGGTCACAGTTAGAAATAGTGCACAATGGTCAGCAGGGAACAAGTTTGAGAACAGGCAACAACCAATGATTGTGCATGATCAGACATCTCACTCTCTATCATCTCAGGAAGTTACCAGTATATGGCGTTTGTTGGATGGTAGTTTTAAAATCTGCTCATGTAGAAACTTCGAATCACTGTCCTGTATTTACCCCTTCAGTAATTTCTTCACAGATAGCATTGTGTAGCTTGAGTCCTGCTTGTCAGATTACCCTTTTCTCATTTGTTTTTCCCTGTCTCCACAATTGTTACTTATTTAAGCAGTTTGTTACACTCCATTTGAGCCAAAGATATTCACAAACAAACTTGGCTCATAATCATTTTTTTCCCTCTGTTCTCTTACTGCACAAGTTGCCAGCAGTAAAATGTGATGGACAACCTCAAGACTATATGCATAATGGGATTCTACATAATCTAATTTTATTGTTTTACAGAAAGCACTGCGTATTACTGCGTGTCCATAGTTCAACTGTAGTATAACGACACTCCTTAATCGACCAAGTTATACCATAACCAGCCTGTCAAATTGCGTGCGTCTTTATTTCCATAATTTTCCATTTCTATGCTATTTGGTGGTACATACTCTTCACAGTGCAAGAGGATGTTATTTTTACCTCAGGGAAAGTAGTCTTGTGAATAATGTCCTTTCAAATTAAAGAATTCCAGCTGTGTGTAGGTGGCCATTACCCAGAATTCAGCTTACTTGCGTCACAGCCGTGATGCAGCTGCGCCATGTCTCCGCCATGGTTCCAAACGATAAGCAGTAGTAGTCAGCAGCCAGATATTTAGTTTAATTGTTAAAGTGGAAACTTCAGCTTACATCTTTTTGGAATTAAGTTGGGAATATGTAAGCATGGAGTTCAGTTGTGTATGTGTGTTTGTATTTATACAAATGCCCTACAAGTACTTCAGTGGACTTCTCAGGTCTTTATCAAGTATCCACTGTATTCATTTTAGATTTTCTGTCATTGATGGGTACATTGCACTGATTTTCCCTTTTGTTAATCCTCTACTCCATGAGGAATCATCTGTAGGTTTTATTTGGGGCGACAAGTTTGTTGAAATTGATCTTGCTCTGTTTCTTTACTGTTAATGCACGATGTCATGCAGATTGGAGAGGAAACCACTGTCCTATCTTTAGCTGTTGTTGTGCCTGCTCATTACATATGACCCACTGCCTAAGCAAGGAAGACAATTGTTGTTCTTGGCTTTGTAGATAGAATGATTGTATTTGACTATTACAGACTGGGACAGGATTAATGTATGCATGTGGATACGTTTGTCTGTGTGCGCGTATATACAGACATTTGTCTGTGTGCCTTAATATGTCTCTGTGTAGATGTCACTGAGTATGTGGCTTTTACTCAGTGGATGTCCTTCCATTTTCTCAAATGGGATAAATGTCTTTTTTTCTTAGCCTGATTGGCTTTTCTCAGCACAGCTTTTGGCAGTAAAACCTCAGTATTCTACAGCCTCTCTTTATTAGGACTGTGCTTACCATCCACCATTTTGGTGTAAGCCCATCTCGTCTATATTAGATATCTGTTCTGTTTCAGCCCACACTGCAATAAGCCTAAGTGCTGCACAGTCCATCTCCCCAACACACTGTGTAATGGCCGAGACCACTCTGGAATCTCTCCCCTCTCATCACCATGGCAACCACCAGACTCCTTTTTTCCATCTTATTCTTCTCCTTCTCCTCTCCATCTCTTTGCTAACTCTTTATTCATGTTTAATCTGTAGCTATAGAGAAGAAGGCTAACGGAGGCAGAGGGAATTAGGAACATTTGCTGAGCTTCTGAAAGTATCTACTGGGAATAGAAGAGAACTCTTATCTCTTCATGTCTTATTGCATTCCTTGCGCTCCGCCGTTGTCTGTTTTCATCTTTTTTCTCTCCTTCCTTAGTCCTCTTCTCCCCTTTTTCTGCTCTTCCTCGGATCTCTCACCTCCGTGGCTCCCATATTTTGTTGCCTCCTCCCTAATGTTATAGCTCGCACTCCTTCTCTCTCTTGAATATTAAAGTACCGTGATGATTATTCAGTCATGTGTCGCCAAGTTTCTCTTCCGTCTGTGTCTTAGTTGCATATTCAATGTGCCTCCCAACTGGGTCAGCCAAAGAAAAAAACACAGCCAGCCCTGCTGCACGACTCAGTCTGCCTCCTCAGCATTAAGTCACTGCAGGTGTTTGAAAAAGGAAAAAAGACATGCACACAATATTTCAAGTAATTTTTTCTATACATTTTTTAAACCAACCTTGCTTGTATTCATATATCTTACTTTAAATTAATTATTTACTGTAGTTCTAAGATCTGCATCAGAGTCTAAGGTGAATTATAAATGCATTTGAACTACGTATTTCGTAGAACTGCATCATGAAGAGGGGGGCTTCATAAAGTAAAATCTGAATAAAATGTGAACCAATCAATCAATATATGAGGAGTTTGGTGTAACAATAAGTCAACATAACAATAAATTTTTTTCTGAAAGTAAAGGAGCAGTGGAGGGAGTCCTTCCAGCAAACATAGCCTTCTGCATCCATCAGAACTGCTCTACAATAGTGTCTCTATCAACTCCCCCCTCGACCCCACCCCTCCTTTCTATTAGCATGAGATAGAGGAACGTGGGGGCCAAGTAGATGAGGGTGATGAGAAAGCAGTGAAGCATTCGTGAGTCTAGTGCCTACTGCCTAATTGAAAAACGAGGCTCATCCCCTTAACTCTGGGAGTTGGCCAGATGAAGGCGTGATGACAGTAGCGAAGGAAGAGTAGAAACCTGGATGAAATCCGACAATCCTAATGTTGTATTTTCCCTCCACGGGGACTAACACACGTTTTACTCAGGGGTATATTATGGCTCTGTTTGTGTGCTTGTGTCTGTAATTTGAAGGGAGGGGTTAAAGGGGTTTTTGTAACCTGCTGAGCCC